TCCCTAGACTGTCAAATGGGAAAAATGTACTTAAAGCATAGTTGCTTGTACGTGCCCGAGTGTCGTGTTCCATTATTTGGATGAGATTTACTGACCAGACTGAACACCAAAGTGACCTTTGCGCCTGGACGAATGGACATTAAGGTACCACCTGAACAGGTCTGCACCCTCCAGGCATCATTACTGCAACAAACTAGGGAGCCTCCAATAGAAGTTCTGGAAGAAGTCTTATAAGAGCTAAGCCCGGACATATGGGTGGGTGGGAGGCCAGGACGGGTAAAGACTGCAGTACCTGTACAGGTCAGAATTTGTCCCGAGTCAAAGATTCCAAACTTAAGACCGTACCCATTAAAAGAAATGCCAGATGGGGAATTCAGCCTTTATTGACTGCTTTTCTTGACTATGACCTTATTTGCCTTTGCCGGTCCTCATATAACACCCCATTGACAGTGCGAAAACCAGGCACACAAGAGTACCGCTTTGTGCAGGACTTGACGGCGATTAACCAGATTGTGGAAGACATCCACCCAGTGGTGCCTAATCCTTATACCCTGCTTACCACCTTATCTGGAGATTTCAATTGGTTCTCAGTTCTGGATCTCAAGGATGCAGTTTTTGCATACCCTTTAGCTCCAACTCTCAGGAGCTATTTGCTTTTGAATGGGAAGATCCTGAGATGAGAGTCCAACAGCAGTGCTGTTGGACTGTCCTTTCTCAGAGCTTTAAAAACTCCCCTACTATCTTTGCTGAAATTTTAGCCAGGGATTTGAGGAATCTCCAGCTGAGAGAAAGAGCTCTTCTCCAATATGTGGATGACATTCTGATTGCTAGTAAAACCAGAGGCCTCAGACCAAAACACGATTTTGACTCTAAATTTCCTAGCCGAATGTGGCTATAAGGTCTCAAAGAAAAAGGCCCAGATCTCACAGCTGTCTGTTAAATATCTGGGTTTTGAGCCGTCAGAGGGGCAAAGAAGCCTACTCCCTGACAGGAGAGAGGCACTAACCAGAGTAGCAGTGCTCACTTCTAGGAGACAATTGTGAGGATTCCTGGGCATAGCAAGATTCTGCCATATCTGGATCCCCTACTGTGGACTGATAGCCAAGCCCCTCAATGAGGCTCTCAAGGGAGGAGACAATGAACCATCAATTCGACTGGAGAATCAATTCGACTGGAGAATGATATAAAGCTTTCCAAACCATTAAAGAGAAGCTGCTTACCACCCCTGCTCTAGGCCTCCCAGACATTAGAAAGCCATTTGAAGGAATTAGCCTTGAGGTATGGACCCAGAATCTGGGTTACATGAGAAGGTCTGTTGCCTGTGTCTCCAAACAGTTGGATATAGTAGCTAAAGGATGGCTTGTCTGCCTGAGAGTGGTAGCAGTCACTTGTGACTTTATACAGGAGGCAGAGAAGTTTACTTTGGGTCAGCCCACCACTGTGCACACTCCTCACTGTGTGTTTCCTCTTGGAACAAAAGGGAGGATACTGGCTCACCTCTTGGAGGCTAGGCAAGTATCAAGCCATACTACTAGACAATCCTAATGTCACTCTGAAAGTGGTCTCAACCTTAAATCCAGCCACTCTACTTCCCACTAGTATTGAAGAACCTGTACATAATTGTATTCAGATAATTGAACAAGTTTATTGTAGCCGTCCCTATCTGACAGACCGGCCATTGGAAAACCCAGACTTTGAGATGTTCATGGATGGGAGCAGCTTCATGGAGCAAAGACAATGCCAAGCTGGATATGCGGTGGTAACCCATCAAAAGACTCTGGAAGCAGAAGCCCTTCCGCCAGGTACCTCTGTGCAAAAAGCAGAGCTTATAGCTCTGATGAGAGCCCTCCATTTTCATCAAGACAGGACAGTGACCATTTTTACTGATTCCAAGTATGCTTTCCCAGTGGTCCATGCCCATGGAGCCATCTGGAAGGAAAAAAGATTAAACATGCTAAAGAAATTTTGGACTTACTAGAGGATGTCCTAGAAGCAAAAGCAGTGGCCATTGTCAACTGTCCAGGACACCAGAAATCTGACTGACTACCCAATTAAACAACTGGGCAGATAAGGCTGCAAAACTAGCAGCCAGGACAAAAGCACCTAGGTCCCTGATAATGGTTCTGATTCTTGAAGAGGATTTGATGAAATGCCACCCAAAATACTCTCCTGAAGACTTAGATAGGGCCAATGAATGGGGATTTAACTGGGGTCCTGCCTGTTCTCAGGATGCCGACTACTGGTACACCAAAGAAGGATGGGTTTATAATAGGCAAGGAACAATTCTTGTCCCTGAACATCTTATGGAAGATGTAATAAGTCATATACATCAGAGCAGCCACTACAGGAGGGATGCGACCTTCCAGTGGATTCAGAAATTCATTATAGGACCAGATATGCAAAGGACCATTCAAAAGGTGATTCAGAAAGGAATGATATGTGCCAAAATAACCCAAAGGTAGGACCCCCACCAATATTAAAAGGAGTCCAATCCAGAGGCACTGGAGCTGGGGAAGATTGGCAGACTGACTTCACAATGATGCCAAGAGCCTCTGGGAATTTCAGGTATTTTCTGGTATTTGTGGACATTTTCTGGCTGGGTAGAATCCTTTCCCTGCAGGTCTGAAAAGGCCCCTTAAGTGGTTAAAGCTGTATTAGAAGAAATAATTCCTAAGTTTGGATTACCTATGTCTATTCAGAATGACAGTGGAGGGACATTCATAGCAATGATTACACAGGAGATATCTGGTGCCCTGAATATTCACTGGAAACCACATGCTTCTTGGTGGCCACAGTCTTCTGGCAAAACAGAAAAAATGAATCACACCCTTAAAAAGTCTTGAGCTAAAATTTGCCAAGAGACTAATTTAACTTGAGACAAAGCCTTTATAGTTGCCCTGCTTTGGCTCAGGGTACCGCCTACAAGCAAGCTCCAATTGAGACCCTACAAAATGTTATATGGGAGACCCTTCCTATATTTTAAATATGGCTTGGGGGATCCAGAGGGAACTTGGATTAAAGAACTAGATACTGAGGTATGTACAGTCTTTGGGAGCTACTCTAACTGCTCTACACGGGTTTGCTTCTAGCAGGTTAATGTATCCCACAGATGTTCCTCTGTATCAGTTGTGTCCTGGAGAAACAAGCAAATCTGGAGGACCAACTCCACCCCCGCTGGACTGGGCCCTATGAAGTGCTGCTGGCAACCCACTCCTCGATAAAGCTGAAAGGAATTAAGCCATGGATCCACCATACTCAAGTCATGCTGGTCCCAGGAGAACTGTCAGACCCACCACGTCCCATCTACTGAAACACCATGGGAAACAGGAAAGATGCCGTGGATGAATATCATAGCTGAGATCATCCTAACCTCAGCTGGTTCCATACCCAGACACTGATTTCTCCTCACTACCTGCCTCTTATTCTTGCGAACCTTTGACTGACCTAAAGTTACTTTTCAGGAAAAGGAAGAAAATTCAGCCAAAGTCTTAGGTCATGAGAGAAGTGCCGAAGGCCAACTGGGCTTCTTACATCCCAGCCGCACTTTAATAATTGCTCTCTTTTCCATATTTCTCCATTTCTTGCAGACTAGCTGTGCATTCACTGGCGTGCTACGAGGGTTGAACCATTTTCTTTGCAAGTACCAGATAAGTAACTCCACAGTCTATTGCTAATCTTTTAGAACCACTCCTCTAACAATCATGATTTTAAGGTATGGTTTCATCTTTTCCCTGATCACTTATTTCATCCCTGTTTATTGTTGGAAGGATAATTCACTTGTGAGAATTTCCCAGTCTTTGGCAAAAGCTGGAAACCTCACTGAATGTTGGATATGTCATCAGAAAGTTCACTCAGTACGTGAACATCAGGACCCTTTAGTAATCCCTGTAACAAACTTTACCAGCATACCAAACATTAACTGTAATTATTCCGGCCCACCAATAAACATAAGTTATAGAGTGAGGCTACTGCATCCTCACTCTCCCATACCCTGCATGTATATATCTACGGTGACAGCTTATTTTACACAGCTAAGAAATCTTTCTAATATCATGAACAAATTCCTTTCAAATCTTTCCATAATTTCAAAGGGAAGTTTCCCTGAGTGCTCTAAAGAAGTAACAGATTTCTGGTTAAATAACACAAGAGTTCAAATGCTTATTCCAGGAATCCAGGCAGTATGTGCCCCACCTGGTTATATTTTTGTTTGTGGGTTTGATCATCAGCATTGGGCCTACAGTTGCCTGGCTACTTGGCTCATACAGGGGGTACTGTCTTTTGGGGTACCTGACTACACCTATATCTATGTATAGCTCAGGAGAGACCCGGTATTGGGCCAGTTCTTTAGAACTTTTTTCCAGAACTAAGAGGTCCATGCCAGATGATGCTACCAGTTACCTGCCTAGTTTTCAAGACGATGGTGCTGGGTATTTCTTTGGACACACTTTATTGCCTTGGTGGGTTGTTGCAGCCCACGAGCACGATAAAAAGTCTCTCTCTCACCTTTGGGATACTCATCAATGAAACTGCACAGGCAGTAGCAGCCCAGCAGAGAGCATTATCGGCAAGGGTCGTCCTGGACTATTTGATAGCTTCATACTATATCCTAGCCGAACAAGGAGAGGTTTGTGCAATAGCTAACTCATCATGTTGCATATATATTAACACCTCATCAGAAGTTGAGACTCATGTAGAGAAACTCAGACAACAGGCTACCTGGCTACAGCAAGTATCCCCAGAGATGCTGAGTCCAGACTGGTTTTCAGGACCATTCTCTTGGATTCCCCAGGGGATCAGATCTGTTCTGCAGGGACTCTCAAAATTTGGGTTGTCTATACTTCTCCTTCTGGTTGCATACTTGATTATAAAATGTGCTTTTAGATGTTGTACCAAAACTGCTGAACAAGGTACAAAAATTCTAATAATGCAAAATGTCAACCTCAAGCCAGAGACAGACTATTTCCAAATGAGTGCTAAACTGTTCCATTCTTCTAACCCAGATCTATGCCCCAATTCAGCAGGAAGTAGCAAGATTGGTCATCACCCCAAATCCCTCAAGAATGAGGAATGATCAAAGAATAGTGGGATTGAAACTGGTGGCCAGATAGCCATTAATAATTATTCTTAAAAGTCATGTAGATAAGCAATATATTATCAGAATCCCACCAGGTTTCTTATAGATAACATCTCTGACTCGAGTTACCATGGTAATGGGTACTTAAGTTGTTTTTCAGGAACTGAGAGTCAACTCCTTGTCCAGTTCAGGCCAGTCGAGACCATCAACCCATCAACTAAGCCTGTGCAAATGTCCCATAGGTGACCCTTTGACATCAGGGTCCGAAAACTCCACCCTCAGATCATGCTAATGCTGCCATTCTGTGAACATACATCCTATGAAGAGCCATGAAGCTTGACTCTGCTTGCATAGATCTTTTCCTTACCTCCAGTCATCTATCCCCATGTTTCAGACCACCCTGCCCCTTTATCCCGTAAATATCCCTAATCCCCATTTTTGAGGAGGTGGATTTCAGACTTGTTTTCCCATCTTGGTAAGCCTTGTGAATAAACCCTTTCTGTGCTGCAAAACTTGTTGTCTCGGTGATTGGCATACTGTGCAGCAGGCAAAATGAGCCTGGTTCTGTAACAGAAGGGTGTCAATAACAAAGAATATGAAGGAAAAAGTCTTATAAGTACCTATATTGCACTCACTACCAAAGATGGGCACTCAATTTGATTTGAGTCATTATAAATTAGAGTTTTTAGCATATAATAACCCTCACAGAAAAACTTTATTGGAAAGTAGGGTAAATTACCAAGATTTGAATGAAGACAACAATAAGAAAAGTTCAGACATCAAGTATGGGCTCTTGGTTTAAATGGAAATGGGATCTTTTTGGTGGTTTGTGATTAGTGAGCTGTTCTGTCACTTTGTAGCAGTACTGGTCTCTAGAGTTTGAGAACTAGCTTCATTTTTCCATCTTATTAGCAGTTAGGAGTCCCTTTGAAAAAGAAAGTAGAAAATTAAAGAAAAATTATAATTTTGAAATTCTACCATTATGGATATGTCTTAAACAGAAGGCAAAGTGAGAATAAAAAATTTTGTCACTATTATAAAATAGAACAATCAAATGTACAAAGCATTTAATCTTCATTTTCAATTTTCAGTATTTCAGGAAGTATATCAACATTGCCTAACATGCTATTTTATTCACTATAGATATATAATCAGTGTTTATTGGCTTAAATACACATGTTTAAAAAATCTTTGGCCAGCTTAATTTTTAATATTTTATGAGCTAGTTAGCCCTGAGTCATGAATTTACAAAAATATCAGATTTATAAAAGGATTGCATACTCTAAATAATGACTTCCATGAGCCATTTACTTTGTGGAATTATAATGTGATATATTAAATGATGAGAATGAACATCTTACAGCTATTACTAATAACTGTATTAATAGCCTCTATACATGACTGTTTCAAACATTTTTAACTGAAAATCATGATTCCTCCATCCCTTATACCAAGAACATCCATACATTAGCAACATATGCACTCAAAAAATGACCTACTTCTATTTGATGAGTAAATAATTTTTTTGAGTTTGAAAACCATACTACCTCATTCTAGTTAGGATCACATTTATAATATTTGCTCTACTATGTTTATGGTTTTGTGACCAATTTGAAAGGTGGTATATCATTAAAAACAGATCAAATTAGCTCCCTCAACTCCTTACTATATCTAGTGAGTGTACTAAAGAAATAGGCACTGACTTTGAATATGGCAAGTTCCACTTTGTGAAATAGTCGTAGGCAAGTAAAGCTGTTGGGCAAAAAGGTAAGCCATAAGACGAATAAGAATACACTCACTACTGCATATAAAGAAGAAAAATAAGATATGTAGGAAGATATCCATTATAGTAGCAAGTGTAATCTATTATTTCTAAGTTTTCCAGATATTTCAGAATTACAGGAACTAAAGGATAATCTTTTCTAAGATGTATAAATGGTTTACTTTTGATAATAAATATTTGATTTATAATGTAAATAGAATAATAGGTAACTCTTGAAATAAAAAATGGCCCACGTAAAATGAACATTTTAATACAAATCATTAGAATATATTTATACTATATATAAATCTATACATTAGAAGATACTACTGAAATTTTGCTCTGCAGAATATCACTTTAGAATTCTCTTTAAAAAAAAAAATCACCGGGAAGAATTAGATGATGACTGTGAAGCAGATTCTCCCATTACAATACTGCTTCTGTCATTTAGAGTTTTGACAACAGTTGTAGCTGGAGACTGGAGCACTTTACGAGAAAGCCTCATTCTTCCATCAGCCGGATCACGCCCAAAGTATTTCACCTGTGTTAAAGAATCAAATTTAAAGTTACAGCACATTGACTGACATCCAAATTAAAAGCTATTTAGGGCCGGCCCCGTGGCTCAGCGGTTAAGTGCTCGAGCTCCGCTGCTGGCGGCCCGGGTTCGGATCCCGGGCGCGCACCAACGCACAGTTTCTCTGGCCATGCTGAGGCCACATCCCACATACAGCAACTAGAAGGATGTGCAGCTATGACATACAACTATCTACTGGGGCTTTGGGGAAAAAGAAATAAATAAAATTATTAAAAGATATTTAAATTTACATGGTCTAAATAAAGCAATGATTAATGTTTTTACTTGTTCACCGAAAGGATAACTCAGTGCTAAGTGGAGCTATATGCTAATAAATATAATTTGGTTAAGTAGTGATTATAAAAAAAAAGAAGAGACAGGAGCATTTAGTTGCCCAATTATAATCCGTTAAACTCATCTGTGCCTTCTTATTTTCTCCAGGCCAGGTGCCTATACTGGAAGAACAGTCAAAGCCATAGTGAATGAATCTAGACAAGGGCTTCCTAAGCCTAACTGTGCCACAAACTATATAGGATTACACTTAGGTCACTCGGACTACTGCTCAAAGGACTATCACACTGGAGGTTACTTGGCTTGACCCTAGACAATGAAAGTCAGGGGGATATGTGGCGGTTTTTAAGTCCCTTCTGATGTTAAAAAACAACTTTATACAGAGATGTGTTTTAGTTCTCATCTTTCCCTGGAGGCTACTTTCAACAATGGGACTACAGATTGGGAATAAACTAGAAGGCTTAGTTACTCAAGTCATGGGTATTAAGTATAACTGGAACGCAAAAAAAAAAAAAAACAGACTGGCAATGAGTTCTGTCATCCACTCATAAAGGACTATAAAAAAGATCAATTTTATTATCAGAATTCTAGAACTGAAAAACATGGCTTTCAACAAACCTAAAAACTTTTAGCCTCAAACAGTGTAGAAGCAATTAAAGTCTCAACTCCTCAAATATGACATTCAAGGCCTTCAACAAAGTTACATTATCAGGGTTCTCATGTCCTGTTTCCAAATCACTGACTTGGCATAGCCATCACTGACCTCCTCATGTATTTTTTTTTTGGTGAGGAAGATCGGCCCTGAGCTAACGTCTATTGCCAATCCTCCTCCTTTTTTTCCCTTTTTCTCCCCAAAGTTCCAGTAGATAGTTGTATGTCACAGGTGCACATCCTTCTAGTTGCTGTATGTGGGATGCCGCCTCAGCATGGCCAGACAAGCGGATCTGAACCCGGGGCCGCCAGTAGCGGAGCACATGCGTTCAACTGCTAAGCCACGGGGCCGGCCCCCACCTCATGTATTTTTAAAAGCTCTAAAGGGGATGGACTGTTGTTCTAATTCAACGGTAAGCTCCTTGAGAAAGAATTGTGTCTTAAATCCTTAATGAGTCTGTTTAGGCAACCCTGCAGTTAAAAAAGAAGCACAGCATATAAACAATATGCATCACATATACTGATTCTTTTAGCTGACTTTTTGAAACAAATAACTGAAACTTCAAGTACAATTTACAACTTTAAGGCTAAAAGTTTGAATACAAGTACCTGAATTTCTTGGCCAACTTCTAATCCTAGGGCAGTGGGATGCTTAATCTGAAAGAGAACATGTTGATTTATTAGTTGTCTTGCATAAATACCTAATATCCATGGTAGTACACATTTTTTTCCTAAGTGGAAAACAGCTTTATTGATTGTTCTGATTATAAAATCTGTTAATTATAAAGATTTAAAATAATACAGAAGTATCCAGATAGTAAAAATTATCCCAAACCCCTCTACTTGTAGATAATTACTACTAACAGTCCACTGAGCATCCCTTCAAATGTCTATTTTGTGTATGTTGCATTTGTAAAAATGGACCTTACTGAGCTTGTTTTATAATATGCTGATTTTTCATTCAATAATATGTTGAGGACATCTTTTCATATCAATAAGTGAAGCATTACAGTTGAGTATTCAAATGATATAATTTGTATAACCAATCTCCTAAAGATGGCATTTAATTTGTTTTAAATTCCAGTGTTGCAAATGTTAATAACTGGTGAATCTAGGTGAAAGGTATATATGGGTGTTCGGTGTACTATTTTTTTTTTCAACTTTTCTGTAGGTTTAAAATTGTTGAAAATAAAAAGTTGAGGAAAAATAAATTGCAGTATTGCAATGATTATATACTCATCTACTCTAATTATCCTCTCAGAACAAAGTCCTACATGTGGAACTTCTAGGTCCAAAGGTACTCATACACATTGACCAAACTCTCCAAAAAGTTTGTCCCAATTTACATTCCTATCAACAGTGTATGAGAACGTCCATCTTTTCTCCATACTTAAACACATTGGAAATTTTCAACTATCTAAAAGTTGAAAAATGATAACTTGGTTTTATTTTCATTTAAAAAAATTAGTGTAGATATTAAATATCTTGGTTGGCTTTTTAAAAAAGTGATTTATCCATGTTCTTTGCTATTGATATTTGTCTTTCCTATTTTTTTCCCCCTATTGATTTTGATCTTTCCTATTTATTTTCATATTCATCTTTCTTACTGATTTATACAAGCCCTTTGTATATGAAGCCTCTGTCATATGTTATAAGCATTTTTTCCCTAAGCTGCTGCTTGTCTTTCAACCTTATTGTAATTTTGCCATATAGTTAAAAAAAATTATAACGTCAAATTTTATCAATTTATTTACACTTTTGGCTTTGATATCAAGGCTGAAAAAGATTTCCCCAGTCCCAAGATTATTAAAATATCCACAGTTTTGAGAAGAAAATACGTGTCCTCCCTCAACCCTCCCATCCCTCATGCCCAGATTTTTTCTTCCCTCACCACCTTAAAAAAAATTTTTTTTTTTTTTTTTTTACATTTACTCCTTGATCTACATGGGCTTTTGGTATTTTTTTTTTGGTACATTTTTTGTACCAAAATTTGGTACATTTTTTTACATTTTTTTTACATTTTTTACATTTACATTTACATTTACATTTTTTTTTACATTTACTCCTTGATCTACATGGGCTTTTGGTATAAAAAGAGTAGAGATCCTGCTTTATGATTACCAGTTGTACTAATATGATTTATTGAATAACCTTTGTTTTTTCACTGACTGAAAATGCAACTTTTAGCATGTACTATATCTCCATGTATATAACTGGGTTTATTTTTGGTCTCTATTTCCTGTTGCATGGATTGTCTATTTCTGGGCCAGTAATACACTTTTAGTCTCTATAGCTTTATATTGGTAAAACAGACACTCCTATTATTCCTCTGCTGCCATAGTTTCATATTCTTAGCCTTCCAAATGTATATATTACAACAAAGATTAAATAAATTTAAAAACATCCCTAAGAATTATCTTGCCATGATTGGTTGGTCAAGAAAATTGGGAAAAAGGGCTATAGCTAGATATTTTTAGTAACTGCTGTGTGTTAACTCTAGATGTTATTTTACCTTAAAACACTCAAGAGTGTTTCTGTTCCATCATGGAAGGGGAAACAAATATCTGTAGTAAACAATGTAAAACCTTTTGTCAGCAGCATCTCTGTCATTCTTGGTTTTGTCTATTAGGCTAGGAGTGGACAAAGTGTACAATTCCCATCAATCTAGGTAATTTCACTATGGTTATTTTAAGGTAGTTTTAAAAATAATCAATTCTGTCTTTTTTTTTACCTTTCGTTGATCAAGTTGTGTGTTATGAAGTAGTACTGCAGTCATATTTGGATATAGTTTAACCATTACTCCAGTGTCTCTGCAAGAGAAATAAGCCTAGTTAAAACAAGTATCTGTAAATCTACTGATAATCAAACACTAATTATGTTTTCATAGGAGAACAAAATAAAAAAACAAACCCTCTAGTACATCTTTTTATAACTATAAAAAGTATGATTATCTAAAAGGGATACTTCTTTTTTCAATTGAAAATATACCCTATATTTACATACTTGTTAATCAAAGGACAGAGAAAAGATAAAAATGTGCAGTGAAAAGCTTTTAGTATATTCTTCTGGGTTTCTCTTCATAATATTTTCCAAAAAATTTTAAAATGACATTAAATATTTTAAAATACTGTAGAATTATCATCAAGCTATTAAGTAGTAGTGATTTAAGGAAGGAGGTTGAGAAAATGGGAGACTTATTTAAAAACTGCTCTTCCTTTTTTGCTCTAGTCTAAAGTAAGCCATCCCATGTCTTACCTTTCACGGGTGATATTAAACAAATTATCCCATTGACTTTTATTGTTCATTTCAAGTAGCTTTGAACATTCATGCTACATCTCATAAAGTCTTTTTTTTTTTTCTTTAAAAGGGGATTTTCTGATCCTGAAAATCCAGTCTTTTTAACTGGTAAAAAAATGTTTTGAGGTTGAAACTGGCATTTAAAAAATGGGCTACTTAGGCATTAAGTAGTACTATCTTTAAAATAAACCAATAAGAAACTACCAAAAAAAGAAAAAGAAGAAAGAGATAGGAAATATTGCTAAGTCTATTTTGGGCCTGTTTACTGTTTTTTGGGAAAATTAAAATGGTGGGAAATTTGGTTAAAGAAAACTCAGTTAGAAATCACAGAACCATGCTACTGAAAATCTACAAACTAGTGTAGAAAATAAAGTTATACCTTAAAAATAATTAACAATTATATGGTAATTGACATATAATCTAAACACCTTAGAAGTTCAAAGTAAATAAAGCAAACATATGAAGTTAACATGGGCTTGTAATATAAATCTTATAAAAACCAGCACAGCACAGCATAATACTTGGTATTACCTGATTTCAGTTATTGTAGCGGTATACACTGCTCCAAATTCTAATTGCTGCTCTTGCTGTAAGTGCAAAATAAGCCATAAGATTCATAAAGAAAACAGCAACAAAAAGTAGAAAAAAGTAACTATTATAAGATCTATACTTACATCATCTTTGCAGATTTCGGTAATGAAGTCTCTTGCTTCATGCATAGCACTGGGTGTTGGTGCAAATACAGAAAATGTTTCTTCATCCACCTGACTAACAGTTACACCTTTTAAAAAGATAATTTAAATTAACTATTAAAGTTAACTTGCTCGTTCCAGTGGAGACTAGTCTTAAAAGCAGATGTGAGAGCAGGTGAGTGACCTGGAAGTAGCTGAGCAGGGTTATGCCCTGTTTAGTCACTGCTTTAGGAATGAAGGGATTCATTCACCAACAAATACACATTGCACACCTGCTATGTAGGTGCTAGGCCCTGGGGATACCACAGTGAGCTCAAGTTCCCGCTTTCTTGGAGTCTATAAATGTTGTGGCATAAGGCATGTAAGTTCCAATTTTGGAAAGTTTGGTTTTGCTCTCAATTATGAGTAAAAACTATACTAGAACCCGTTCCTCATCTTCTTTTGCCCTCTTACCCTGTAGAGTGGCAAACAGATGAGGGACAAAATCATGTCAGTTTCTCAATCTTAAGAACTGGCTAACGTGACTCTGCTTCTCACTATCTTTCAGTAACCTCAAAGCTGGTAAGTACTAGGCAACCCAAAGGTTGCTTCCAGAAAAAACAAATTAAAGCATGCTGTTTCTACACATACTCCTTAAATAAATAAGATTAAGTGAAAAACAGCCCGAGTAATAGTAAGCGAAAATTAAACCAAAACTCCTCTAAAGTGCAAAACTAAACATTTTTCTAAATGTTTGATTTTAAAATGTTGCAAAAAAACTGATGAATTCTAAGTCCATCTTCTTGAATATACTTAAGGATGATTGCTGATTTATTAAGAGGCATACAAAAACTTACAGTAAAGACATGTCAGTGTTATATCCTTTTCTCTTGGTCTTTCATTTTTCAAACATATACTTTTGGAGCAACACAATAGGGATGGAGTGGCCAACTTACATGGTCTAGCATTAAATAAAAAACCCCAACTTCATACAACTCTTACCTGTTTCAGCCTGAAGCTTTTTTAAATGATATCCACCTGGTCCAACAAATTTTGCTCGTTTTGATAATGGAACCTGAATGGTTTCTGAAAGGTAGTACAGACAAAAATATAAATAGTTCAAATACATTTGTGAACCTAAAACATGTCCCGCTCACTCAAGATTTTCTTTTTTGGCCTAGACACATGTAAAACTATTTCAGTATGAAATACAAAAACGGTTTGTTACTTGACTGAAATTACTGAAAGTTCTAACGTCTAAGAATATTCCCCTAAATTTAAAGTATTTTAACTATAAAAGTATTTAAAATATTTTTGTTTTGTGTGTGGAATTAAAAAATATGTAAAAATAGTAATATACTTTCATATCTTAATGTTTACCTTATCATGAAATCAGTAATGTTAATGTATTACCTACAACAGGTCCATTTTCTTTTCTAAATGCTCGAGGTTTTGAAATAGTTCTGTTCATAATCTGTAATATCTCCTTCTTTGCCACTATAAGAGATAAAACATAATTATAACTACATAAAATAAATATGATTAGATATAGCAGTATTCTTAGTTTTTATGGCGTAAAATCCAAACTCCTTAGCTTAATAATCAAAGCTCTTCCCATCCCATTTACCTTGACAATTCTACTCCAATTTCCTTCTCCATAAATCCTATCTTAAAGAGTTACTTAATTTGTAAAAATTGAACTTTAACTGGTCTGCCACTTTGGTGGTTAGTCATATGCCTAATAACTTGATCTTGGTTGTTACATGAAATTTCATTTTCTATATTTTATAATAAGCCTAATTAGAATTTTAGTTCCCATTAACAAACTAGACAATGATGAAAGGAGAATCAGGCACACTGGCTTCGTTTACCTGAGGCTTGTTGAATGGCCTCCATTACAATTTTTATTGGTATTCCAGGTAATTTAATATCAGCCTAATACGGAAAAGCCAAAAAAATTACATCAATATTGATTCATGACATTTTTTAAATATTACAAAAATGAAACAAAATGTGTGTAAAATTACCTGTAATGCAGTTATTCCCTTATTAGTGCCAGCTATTTTGAAATCCATATCACCATTGTAATCTTCAATTCCCTTAAGGAATTTAAGAAATTATGATATAGTTTTAAACAAAAACAAAATTCACCCATAGTCATTGTAAGGCAATTAAACCAAACCATGTCCTCTGAGACTACACACAAAGAAATATCTTCTACATTAACTACTGCTTCCAATTTGTGACGTTTTTTAAGTTACAAATATCTCATCAGAAAATCACTTTATTTTTAGATCACGTTTCCCCCCATAAAAGGATTAATTACGATCATCTTAAGGTTAGCCATTATGGATATTATACTGTAATATATATTTTTAATTCACATCCTATGAAATCCAACACGAATATGCAAAGGAGGAAAGTAAGAACAAGGACCTCTACTTCTCTAGTACTAGCATTCTTCTAAGCATATCATGCTTGTAAAGTATGTGTACTCTTCACTATTAAGTATTTGAAATTGTGAATATACTTGCCAGAATATCTGTCAGCAAACGATAATCTTCTATTTCACCCTTGTCGGGATTGTTTTTGGTGACCAATCCTATTGCCACACCTGCGACAGCAGATGAAATTGGAACTCCTATAATTGAGAAAAAGAACTTGTGTGTAATGTGTACATCAGCCTAACACATGTATTTATCATTCTGTTGACATTTACTTTAATGTAAGTGGATGGTGTTCTAAATTGACAATCATCAAAACTAAACTGGAAAGGTCTTAGCAAGTCATCTACCTCATTTGTTCTTATTAATAAAAGTCCCTGAAAACAATTCTAACAGGTAATCATTGTTCTGAACAAAAACCTCTCTAATAATGGCAAACTCAACTCTTAATCAGTGTCTTTGCCTTTTTGCTTTAGTGCCTTCTTTTTCTTCTTTTTTTGAAAAGTAACCATATATTTGCTAAATCCTTCCAGCCTGAACCCCTCAGTCTACCTCCCCACGACAGGCATCGTTAGGTTGTGTATCCTCCTAAAAAATTTCAAAAGTATAAATGTAAGTGTAATCTTTTATTTTCTTTACTCATGGGAGCATACTAAATGCATTCACTATTCTGCATCTTGCCTTTTTTACTTAATAACATCTTGGATATTGACACATACCACCACACATAGCTCTACCTTATTTTGATTGGCTGCATAGTACTCCTTGTACATGTTTATCAGTCACACAGTAGAAGTGGAATTACTGAGTCAAAGGGTGTGTGGATTTACCTTTGTTATACCATCAAACTGCCTTCCCAAGAGTATAGATTTTATACTTTTACCAGCAATATATATATCAGCCTGCTATTCTACATTCTTGTTAATTTTTTCAAATCTTTTACTTTTGCCCATCTAAAGGGTAAAAATGGTAGCTTATTGGTTTTAATTTGATTCTTGTTTTTATGAGTGAGGTTGAACTTTTTATTCATGTTTATAAACCATTTTTCTTTCTTTTTCTGTGAACTGCCTGTTCATGGCCTTCAACCATTTTCCTTCTTGGTTATTAGTCTTTTTCTTATTGATTTATTTGTAAGCGCTCTTTCAATCTACGGACAGTGGATCTTCGTTAAATATAAATGTAGACTATTATAGTAAATCAAACATAAATATGAAATATATTATTTCCTAGTCTGTTGACTTTGTTTATTGTGAGTTCTTTTCCCTGTACAGAATTTTTAAAGTTATATGCAATCATGGTTTCTGGATTTTGCTTAGAAAGATTTTTCCTCTCCAAGATTTTGATAAAATCTTCCAGCCAGTTATAATGCTGATGACTTAAAAATCTATCCCTCCTGCCTAGTTTCTCTTGGTTAAGTCCTGGATCTGTAGAGCCAACTTGCCTATTGGACATCTCCAGCCAAATGTCCCCATACATTCAAAATTTATTCACCCCCAATAAATTCTTTTTCTCATGCATTCCCTATCTTGGTTGAAAGCAACTAAGACGCTCACGCCAGAATCAACACTTCTTTCTTCATTTCCTATATTCCATCAAGTCACAAAGATCTGATTAGTTTATCCTCTAAATTTTTTAGAAAATTGTCTTTCCCCTAAATATTGAAATATCCATTGCTACTCCTTTAGTCCAAGTCCACATTATTTCTTGCCCTGGCAAAGTCTCCCTGTCTGGTTTTCCAGATTGTAGTCTCTCCCTAAGCTCCTCTTCTCCCCCATTTCATCTCCTAGTGCTTTCATCTACGCTGGGAAAACTACCTCAAAAAAAAAAAAAAAAAAAAAAA